GCTGGATGGAGCCATCTGGTCTCCTAGTTAACAAGATATGCAGATACGGCATCCGATTGTCGGTTTCCTTTTCCTAAGTGAACTGCGGTGCTGCATGGGGGCGGTTGAAATGATCAAGAATTTCGTCCAAGTCGATGTGTTTATCCGCGACTGTAGCGGTCAAAAGTATTTATCTCCACTTGTATTTCGGTTCGCTCCAACTCTACCATGAATGTACCTGCCAACAGCGGACCGAGAGGTAATCCACCAGCCACGCCGCCCTTCAGTAGATTGTAGTTACCATTGCATAGGAAGTACGGATTCTAGGTGCAGCCCAATAATAAGCTTTTTAACTCACCCGCAGGTATACACACGTTTATTGTTGACTCACTTATATATTCGCAGATGTAATCTGTCTCATTCAGTAAGACGCTGGGAAAAAGTGAGACAACCTCAAAGGGTATGATTACTTTCTCATTAAGTTTAGCATCCTTGATGCTTTCGAAGAGCTGGAACCATTCACGTAGGCTGTAAGCTGTTGTCGCACCGGTACAAGAACTTTTACAAGACACTGAACGACCGCCTGGTAGGGTGAGTTGATCATGGATAGAATAAAGTAAAGCGGAAAGTTGGCATTGTGAATTTTTGGTAACCCATAAAGCCTGGGAAAGTTTGTGCCACTCGGCTTGACGCTGTCAAACAGAGCATCTGAAAGGCACCCGTTAGTCAGAAGTTCTTGTAAGCTTTTGGGAATCTGTGTCCCAGCTTGTTTCGTGATGTTCATTTCTTCTGGGTTACAAGAGAACTTCGTTTCAATGCTTGGTATTTCTGTTAATTTACCTATATAATTTTTGCTGTCTAGCAACACAATTGCAACACTGTTGTCCGGTCTGCACAAAATGACCTCATTGTGCTTTAATTCCTTCAACGCATCTATGTGCTTTTGTGTTAGCGTGACATGATTACAGACATAATGTTTACGGTACCGGTAATTGACGTAACAGTACTTAAAACGCTCTAGATTCATATTCGATTAATCATTTCGTCTGATGATATAAGCTTTCAAACTGTAGATCATAATCGAGTTGGTTATCGCGCGTCTAGGAGCGCAAAATTTTAGGCCAAGCGAGAAAACTTCGATTAGCGTTGTGTCCAGTTTCGAAGTAGAGCTCTTTTAGGAACGTAACTTGCGGCTTCACTGGCTCAGCGACTTTGATAGAGAAGCACGGCTTCGCTGTACATAGTTGGAAATAATAGACTCAATATAATCCAAAAACATATTATTTTCCTCTGCAGCTAACTCTCTCCTTACCATGTCGCGCTGTGCTAGCGTTCTAACAAATTCAACAATCTTGGATTGCATCGCGTCACGTTGATTTAGCGCGAATCGTCTTACTATTGAGCTAAATCCTGTCACGGCGAAACTGCTTCCAAAATCTGGCAAAATATTCATTACGCTCAACGTAATCACTGAAGAATTGAACACAGGTTTTGTTTTAGCAAGCTTAGTGGAGAACCTGAGGTAGTGATTGAGCTCCTTCACCTTGATGGAGGCTTGGACGATTTAAATAATTTGAAAATTCCCATTAAAATTTCAGAACAACAAGAGCATTTGGGTCTAAGACTTGTGCTCCTAGACTACTACCGCTTGGGTTCCCTGACTTAACTGTACGGAAACTCATTAGTCTTGGCGCCTTGTCGGTTGGTATGTCGTGAGATCCCGTCCACTGAAAGTTCTTTCAACACCAGATGAGCGTAAAGCACTCCTGCCTTTCGCTTTTAAACCCATAGGTTCTTGGGTCAGTAATCAACATAATCTCCCTTTGGCTAATAGAATGAAATTAAAAGGCGCCATCAAGGACCTAAAAGCCCGTCGCGAGACTAGTGAAAATGGTCTTCGGTTGGTGGGTTTTCAGGTAGCGACTCGGAGGTCGAGTTCCGCACTTCTAGAGCCCGTTCTGGTGGCACACGATCCTAGTTTTCTCAAGTTGCTCCTCAACAACGTGCGTAGTCTGAGGAACAGGTGCGCGATTGATACTTTTGTAGTAGGCTCCCGGCTGACATACTCTCACTAAGATGTGATTGATCTCCGACACCTTGGACAGTGCAGTATGTCCACTGAACCATACTCTACTACGATCTGATCGCCCTCCAAGCTGTCGTGGAGGTGGAGTTGTTTTGTACGTTAAATCCACGTTAAGCATTATGTGAGCAATTTCCCAGATATAACTGTAGAAGCTCTTTCGGTGGGTGTGGCTCTCTCATGAAATCCAAAACGTTGTTGGTATACAGAAGCCCTGAAAGTGTATCAAGTGGGCTTATTGATCTAAATCGCAGTCATATGCTTCATGGATATTTCATTATGGGTGATTTTTATGTTACAGTGTCGATTAGCGGAATTTCTACTGCGATGCAGCGTCAGGGTACTTTTCCACTGATCTTCTTGACCTTCCGTTACATGAATCCCTCCAACAGACTGTTCAAAGGCTCACTAAGTTCACGTAGGGCCAAAACATTTCCTTCTTAGACCTTGTCTCTGCAAAATAGATGGAATTTGTGCGAGATCTAGTTTACGATTTCTCCTTGAGTGCTAGTGATCACGTGTGCCTGGCATTCAATTATGCCCGAAGTCGGGGTTCGGAAGAGTGTTGCCCGAGGCCCAATTATCTGCCGCGCAGATTTTAAGGCTATCTCGGAGGCTGATAGCACCGAGATTGCGTGAGTCAAACTTAAGTCCTTTCTCTGCGAAATACTTCTCCCCATATCGCAAACTCAGTGCAGAATAAAGTGGGGGCTAAACCACCTTGATCTGACTTTGAAGAGTGCAAGATGCGCAGTAGACGATCCAGATGTTGGAAGACTTACGTATCCACTCTCTCGGAAACTACGCATCATCGCAATCGAGATGTGTGAAATGCCTGTAAACAGCATTTGAGGGCCGCACCGCATAAGTTAAGCCAAAACGGTTTTTAATTGCGTCAGACGACGATGTAATACCATTTCGGTTGTCCCCTTGCTGTTTCGGCTTGAGGAGATTGCAGCATCAACGGAACAAGACAAGGCGTGCGTATCAGCGGGATAGTATGTGAGATCGCTTTCGCGAGTCTGCGTTACCGAATATTGACGACCTTCCTGGAGAGTTCAAGGTACCATCACTTTTGTTTGCGGATGACCTAAACTCTTTGGAGTGCACTGAACGATTCTGATGACCCCTTTGGCTTAGCAGATAGCTATTGACAAGCTTTTGGAGTGGTCAGATTTCCGCAAGCGGCCAGTATATATTACCAAGTGTTCGGTCCTTCGTATGGGATCAAGTACGCCCTCAACTCATTCTCTATTTGGTGGAAATGCAGTATTGCAGGTGACCCACCGAGTTTACTTAGGCATTTGGCTGTCCTCGGAAGTTAAATCCAGCGAGAACTGGACGATCGGTACTCGCAAGGGTTTCCGAATACTGTGGGTGATCCGCAGATTGTTGGAGATCATGACAACTGAAATGTTCGTTATGTCGTTCTCTCCCTTTGTCAGACCATACCCGGAACACTACGTGCAAGTCTGTCCTTCATGCTTGGTCCGCGACACGATGGCAGTTGAGCAAGTCCTGAGGACTGACACCAAATTAGCGCACGGATCTAGGCATCCCACGTATCACGATAGACTGATCAGATTGTATATATTCTCGCTACACTATAGGCGCGTTGTGGGGTGATGTGATCCCTACGTATCGTATACTGACTGGCCGGACTGGGCTTGATCTATCTCTATTGTTCCAATTCACCCAGATGAGGACTCGTCGGGGCCACTCTGAAGATGCATAAACGATCCGATCGTCGATTCATGGGACGCACTACCTATGGATGTGGTATTCGCACCAACGGTGGAGTTCGAAAATCGACCCAATGCCCTTGAGTTACAGTTTCAAACCTTCCATGTTGGCGGTTAATTTCCGCTTCCATTTCCTTGACCTTACTGCTACCACTACCTCAGTTAACACATCCGTACCTGCATTACAATTATAGGTATCCATTTTTTGTTTGTTTCACTTCTCTTAGCCTTTATTGTTATCCACGTGTCCGATGCAATAGGGACTGCTAGTGAAGGTCACGCGGACTTTGAAAGGTTGACCGTGATGTGATTCGAGAACATTGATTCGGCTCTCCTCGGTTTCAAAATGATCTCATGAACTCTGTCCTGGTTCAACGACGCCCACAAGAAAAAACACAAAGGGGGAATTTCTTAACATTCCCGTTCCAATTGAACTTGAACTTTCTTTGTAGACAGGAAAGACGTTAGCAGTTCAAGTGGGTTCAAGGAAATTTAGCGAGGGAAAAATGCAGGCTGCTTATAATGTCCTCTTGTATTTAATCTATAGGTTCTGTGGACGAAGCCATTGCCTTTCCTTCTTATTATATTACGATTTAAAACATATATTAGATAGGTTGGGATAACAAGCGATTGCCCCCACTACGAGCTGTGTCAGCCACCAGCGTTCTGAAACAACATTGAAGCTCAGGGTATTGATGCAAACATCTTGACACATCACCACTTTATATAAGTCAGTGAAGATTTGACTGGAAAGAGTTATCAGAGAACAGTGCAGCGCTTCAATATGATACACACATATGGCTGTGGGTACTGCCCATAAAGATTGTCTCAACTACATCAGGGTGTTGTTGGTTGGAAAGTAACGGCTGGAAAATGCACGGGTGGGGGAGGGGGGTAAAGTGCGCAACATATGTTGTCTCATATGTGTTAGAAAGGAGTTTCTGTAGGAAAATGCAAAATCGCAAATCAATCACTGTAGATGGCACAATAAGTGTCTCGAAATCGTCTCCGTTGTCATACGCTTGAATGCCACTACAGTCAATGAGGAGTGCTCTCCAAGACATGGTTCCTGAAGTGATGCTACCCACATGAATTAGTCATTCTTCAAATGATCGGCTGAACTAATCATCATTTGTATTGCCACCCTTCACAGAATTAATAAATTTTATTTTTCATCCATACTCACAAGCCAAATCATGTCCCCTCTCACACACACAGCCAGAACTGATCCGATAACACACAAATATCCCGAATTTTCGGGACTTCCGACGGTCAGTATCATGAGACAATACAACGAACGATGGGGTGAGTTTCTTTGTGAACGATTGCCATCATCTGTTTGTGCTCGTCGCTTAAACATTTCACAGCTTATAAGTCCCCATGTGCTTCGGAGCTTGCGAGCGAAGTACTCCAACTCAATAAACATAAAGCCAAGGGAGAACTGAGTACAGGTTTCAAGTGATACTTAAGTATCGAAGCTCTTTAGGTCATTTCAGACAAGCGTGTAGAGCAATGAACAGCCATCCGTAGTGTAGGTAAAACGAGTACTCAATGAGCAACAAATTCGTTCCCATCTAACATCACAGAAATGTTTCGCTTCATTCTGCCACAAAATGCCAGATGGCGCACTAGAGCTTGAAACACGCTTGATGAAAATAGCCAGTTGGTTGCATACTACATGGAAGCCCAGCAGGACCGAAGTATGTGCGATCTGATAAGATGCGAAAGGTTAACCACTAACACACGAAAATAAGGAAAGAACAAGTATCCAAAGTAGTAACAACACTAAGGCTCTGCAGAGTGGACAGCGATAGGAGCAACTTTGGTCCTCTGTAACGGTAGACAGGTAGCTGTGGCCAGGACGTTAAGGCCGCTAAGACATGCTGTTGATAACAACTGCCGAAAAACTAGACAAAGCAAGGCACACGTGAAATGAGTACTTGTCAGTTGAAGACACATCGAAGTCTGACTACATGGGTTCCACAAAGCATGTAGTGAGCGGGGTAGTGAAGCGAGTTGTTCGTAAGAAACAATGTGAGCGGGTTAAATGGAATGCTTAAGTGAAAGTTCCGCAAACCGGCTTTGCAGAGTGCTGAAACTGTGCACTCAAGCCGCGTCACACACATGTCTGAATGCGGCCGGTACGCAGCGCTGATGATAGAGAGAATTTCGTGTAAGAAGACGTACGATGAGATTCTCCGCACTCTTAGAATAATGGAATGAAAGTTTTCATGAACTCAACAGTACATTGACATATTGGATGCCTCGTAGGTCTTCGGAAAGCAAGAGAAAGTCTGTTAGTCATGAAACGCGGAATCAGTTGGAGTATACAAATGCCTATCGCGAATTAGATATCATTGTCGCGACCTATACCGCCTAACCATATTCAGGCGTCCACACGTACTATCCACTCGCCGCGCTCAATCCAACCTACGCCTGTTCTGTGCAAGATCGCGTTGAACTTGAACCTCGATGCGCCCCGGCACTTTTCCGTTGTCCGACTGCCCCTTGCGATGATGATCAATTCCCGTGGACTTCTTCCATTCAGTGCATTAGCTGCCGTTGCGTCCAGTATCGTCAGTTCGGGAGAGTTGTTGCGCACATGCTGTTCACTCGATGCTGTTCAGGACAATCTGTTTCCCCTAATGAAGATGCGTTTCGTTCGCACCAGACCGAGTCCATTCAGCCTTATCCATCTAGTTTATGCGATCGTGGTTGGCGTTCCGTTGGTTTCCTGGCCACTAGTCTAGCATCAATTTTGTTCACTCGAACCACCAGCTAGTATCACATTGGGAGCAGCGCTTGATCGTTGATACATGAAAATATATCACTCACAGAGCGGACAGCAGGAAATCGACTATTGCGGAGGTCAAATTAGAGGTCTGTAAAAAAACTAGGTACTCACTCGCTGCATTAAGAGGTAGATAAGAACCGAAAACCCAAGAGCTAAAGAACCGTTTGGTTTTGTCAGCGTACAAAAGTGCAGTGTCTTCGATCGATCCGACTCCTGTGCCACGACTCCCAATGCTGACATATATGGGTAACAGTCCGGTCGACCGGATGACGCTGGGGTGAAATAACATTGTGTCCATTGCATAGAAGCAGCAGAAAAAATCACCGACACCTTGTTTGCCACTCTCTTTACTAGTAGAGAAAACACAGTCAACTAGTTACTGATGTACGGCAAAAATCTTGTCGAACATTGCATTTTGAACAGAACTTGAAGGTCCATGTGTGAATCGTGATGAATGATGTTCATATCACGCGGTTCTCCAAACATCAGTGAACAGCCAGTTCGGCTCGGTCCAATTCCCCTCAAACTAGTTCCACGTATGGATACATCGGTCGAGCCTTACAGCTGGCTTTCTAAGCAACGACACCTATTTTCCCAGCTAGTTTACTAATATACACCGAAAATGGTCATGCATGAACAATCAGGTGAGAAACGTGCACAAGTTTAGTATGCTACGAAAGCTGCTCAAGTGAATGGATAGCTGCAAACAAAGAAACGTGTTTCTGAAATGCCCTGACCTACGACAGGGATAACGGAATATCAGTGTCTCAAATGAATACAAGAGTTCCCTTTCCCAACGTATGAGACGACTGGTAACATTTCGTGCTCTTCAAGTACAGAGAGGGGAAACGGGAACCGGAACCGCGAGTAGAGATTGCCGGTAAACACTGTCAACACCAGATCACCGAGCCGTGGATAACGCTTGGTACAACGATCATTGATACGTTGTTGGGTTAATCGAAGTACGTGGTTTGTGAATAGATTGCAATGTCAAGCTGCGATTTGCTTTGGAAGGCCACACGTGAATCTGATTTAATTGTTCAATCGGTGTCCGAGTGGTCTGCGCAACTGGGTTGCAACCATAAAGTCCCCAATTCGAATCCGCATAGAAGTGGACGTCCTTGCGGTATACTGAGCCCGCGCGAGCCTGGTGGTGGTCGCGTGGTAGCGAAGCGCCGTTACGGCGTACAGTTGACACATTGTTTATTACACCAACAAGAAGGAAAATGCGGTGAGTTCGTGGATGTGCATGAAAAGAATGCAGACCAGTCAGTAGTTGGTGTGCTAATATAAATAGGATTAGCTGGGTGCACGAAGTCTACTCTACATATGGCTAGCCTCATATGACAAACAAATACGGTTGCGCCTAATACCACCGTAACATGCCTCGTGCTGTACTGACACGGACGAGGGAACAGGGAATTTCCAGAAATGGTCTCTAAGTCAACGGGTGTCTCAATCAACTTATACTGAGTTTAACTGTAAGCACATGGGTGGGAAAAAACTTAAATCCTTACACTGGCAAGGGACAAGACAGTTCCACATTCTTAGCTGATTCAAGCTCAGTTAAAAAACGGTATCCGAGTAACGAAACGAATTATATGAAGGGGTGTTGACTCATGTAGTCATGTGACTAAGAGACGTAAAAAGAGAGCGGGCTAAGAGTAAAAGGCGGCTCACAATAATCGGACTAGAAAGTACAAGAGGTAAAATACAGGAGCTCCGATGAATCCTAGACCGCGCCATGTCGAATAAATTTGATAACTACTGATTCCAAGCGCGTCTTCAGAAAGTTGCGTGTGATAGCCTGGTAGTCTCTCAGTAGATTGTTTTATACTTCTTCATCATCGTTGGCTGACCAGCTCAAGGTTTCGCGATGGCGAACCATGTAGGTCGAGATAAGCGAGCATATGAAAAACATGCTCCGGTCAACGTATGCAGTTACATTTTGATGGACATAAGAGGAGTCAAAATCGTCTTCATCTAAATTCCAACTGTCGGGGGTCAGTATTGCTCATTCGGTGTTCCCACCAGAGTTGGGTAGTGCCTGCAAGTATCGGTATTCAAAGATAGTCTATCTCATAATATTCTCCGTACCGTATGTTCGTGTCGATGTTCCAGACAATAACATTGATCCCGCCACGTTACTGCACCCCCAGCCCATGATTGTTTAGCTGTCTCACGGGTGTTACAGGTACATGATGTAACCAGCGCAGCTAATTGATCATCAGAAGTGACACAACAGTCCAGACAAGTGAGACGATCGGCCGTGTCGAATAACTGTGCGTAAACAGTTAGAACTGATGGCGTGCCGGCTCAATCCTGCAACAGTACTCTGCATCATGAAGGAGAGGAAATATCGAACGGTGTAGTAATTCACCTCGATTTATTCAGATCCATGCGATCAAATGTGAAAAACACGAACTACCATGAGCATAACTGATCATAATCATATTATCCAGGCAAGCAAATAACTCCATGTCCCGATGCCTTGTTTTCCTATAGTCCATCGAAATCCGATACTTCACACCTATGAAGAACCGATGCAAGTGACCAGGAACCAAGAGCCCGCTCAAAAAAGTGAGAATATTTAATTTCAGTTTAGTACAACTTTACGACGCAGCACCACATCATCATCATCATTATACACGTTAGCTAGAGGTGGAAAAACACCTCCGCTAGTGTGCCGCAATACATGAAGGGAATACATACATACATAAATATAATACAATACACAAAGAAAAAATAGATACAACAGTTGCATGCCAGCTGAGCTACCCGCAACGGATAGGCATCGTTCCGGTAAACTTCGAGCCAGCTACCAGGCATAAAGAAAAAAATTATTATGTTTACCCTAAGAAATGAGATTGTAGATGGAGGAGGGACAAAGAAACTCACAGCATGAACACCACTGAGGTCGGCTCCTTGCCATGTCAGCAAGTGTATCCAGCCAAACGTGTTCACCGTCTTTTGGACCCCAATCAGGGAGCCGTGACGCTCCAACCGAGGTTAGCTCCGAAGTGAGGGACTTCATTCCCCTGGACCAAGTCATCGCTTGGCCACCTCTCCTCTTCTTCCACCCACATCCCCGGTGAGAAAACAACGCACGTCGAGGGAGTCGGTGGGCTGGCATGCGTAACACGTGGCCGAGCCATCGGAGCCTGGTGCGGGTAATAACGGTGCTGAGCGGTTCGTTTCCTTTTCCTGGGCCATAAACAATGCGTCGAACACGCTCGTTACTCACGCGGTGTTCCCACTAGATGTGAGCCAAACTGCGAAGGCACCGATGGTCGAACGTAACTAGCCTCTCCAGGTCTGCTGATCTAAGGGGCCAAGTTTCGCAACCGTACAGTTGGGTTACGCAGCACCACAGACAATATGGTTGTAAAACCCGTTGTACGAACTTTGGGATATCGATACAACTGAGTTGTGGGAGGAGGGTGTAGACTAGAGATCAGTATAGTACTTAGTGGACAGCGAAATGCTAGACGCATAAATTGTGCGGTCTTTGAAGTACAAAAATAACAAGTAGTATTGAACTGAAACACTGACTCCGTAGCCATGTGAGTTAGGTCGAAAGTAAGCAGCGGCAAGCTACATGGACTGTATTCAATGACTCCAAACAGTGTGTTATTTAAGTGAATCTTTGATAGCTGAAGACGATCGATGCATTTGAGTGCACGTGGAAGGATTCATCAAAGCTGACAGTGCTGGAAGGTCACACAAGAAAGGAATTCCCTGGGCAGCGAAATATACATAGCAACGCGAGCACTCCGTTACAACTCATACGTTCGTCGGGAGTAAGTGAATACGGTCTCCGTTAGAAGCCTCTAAGGTCCACTAATAAGTGGACTTTCCGAAAGAGTGCTATTCTGCTGAAGATCCATCACCTACTACAGCCCGGAGTACGGTGAGTCAGTTGTTCTGAATGAGTGAAACTGATCCGACGAGACTATGCCAGCGACCACCATCAAAGGTTATGGGACAACAGGCAAGTCACAATTGACGAGAAACGCATGGTGCAAAAGTACTATGGGTTGAGACAATAATTTCTACGAAACGTAACAGGGCACCTCCTGTGTAAAATGATATTTAGTATGACACAGTGTCGTCTGCGAAGCAGAGCAGATACGTGAATAGCCATTCCAATAGTGAACAACCATGAGACTGCCTGGTTATTTGCAATTCTTTTATACTCTTCTTAGATTTTCACACAAATTAATGCGAAAAAGTGAGCATCCAAACACTAACTTTTCAGAAACTGGCATGATCATTCAGACCGATACAGGTCAAGGAGCAAAATTCAAACAAAATTGGCCTACCATTCCAAGTTGGACACTAGAGAGTGAGTGACGCTGTAAATTGTTTTAGAGTTTCTCTAACCACCCAGCTGTGCTCGAAATGCTTTAATGTGACATTTTAGTTAGTAACTATAGAGAATCGTCGGGAAGAAAGATTTCGCTTGATGGGAGTCCCGATGAACTGCCCGATCCACAAGTGGTATATCAATGTAATGCGCTCCACATAACTGAATGATACATGATAGACAAGGTGGCCAAAGTGTATGGTAAAGACACGGCCACAAAGTAACAGCGTTAGGTGTAAAACAACATACCAGATAGTGATAAGAATTTGTGCTGAAGTGCAAGGCAACATCATTTGTGCTTGAACGGAATGGTTTCAAGAACACCAACAGGCCCAGCAGCTAGGGTAGCACATACGCAAGAATGACGATGCCAAACACAAGTCACAAAACATTAAGGAAGCAAATGTACAATAATCGGATCAGATCATTCCTGTCCACGATCTCCATTATAATGCCCTTGGGTATATACAACCGGGATTGAACCTAACGCTTCGAACGCTGATGAAGAGAGGAGTTGTACCTAAACAAATTCACAAATCTGTGGATTGTTGTATGCCGAAACACGGATACAGGTACGGCATAGTGAGTGTTATCATTCCCTGTGTTTGCACTGAGTCCAGTTTAGTCAAGCAACAATGATGCGTACACCGAAGTGCGTTGGATCCAGATGCGCCGACATGCGTCACCAGGATAAAATAACAGGGAGGTAGAACGCTAACAAAACATCCAGAAATAAGCTACGAAATGGACTCCACAGACAGAACAGGGAAATTAGCGGTAACCGGGATCCGTTGGTGCAGGAACAGCGGGTGAACAGATCAGCACCGTTAGCTGGGTCCCGTGTTGCGCATGCCAGTACACCAATTTCAGCGCGTGTGTTGCTTGCGCGACCGCGGTCTGGATGGGGGAGGCCAACCGATGATTCGGTCAAGAGAAATGAAGATCTCCATTTCAAACTTGGCCTCGGTTGGTGTCTCCCGACTACCGGGCTGGGGTCCGAAAGATGATGAACTAGTTGGGTTAGATACATTTGTTGCCATGGCGAAGAAAGGACCTTAATGGCGTTTGTGATGTGAGTTGCTTTGCACTCCCCGTCCTGTTTGCCTTTCCTCTCCAACCACGATTTCACACTCAGCCGTAATATGACAAGTAACACTGTAATTCTTATTGTTTAGTTTTTCTTTCTGTAAGGCTTAGTATTTCGTTATTTCCTTTATTTGACCATTTGATTTGCGAGACTATAGCTCAGACGTTGCTCACAATCAGCTAGAGTGCAATGACGATGATAATTCTTAAGTTAAAGAACTACGTCTAAACTAAACGATGCAGTACACGCGATAGAAATGTGCGCACTGACTGTTGAGAAGCAGATGTCATGCAGGATTTTTGTGGTTCATATATATACCGCGTCTGACGCGACAAATTTCGGATGAATCACGGTTGAAGGGTCGAAATAGAAAGAAAGAAAATGTGGGAACCAATGTCATGTATCAGCACATGTTTAACACCAAAAAGCGTGCGTGGTTAAAGAGGGACAATGAAAGCGAGGTGAGCGCAGCGTTCGAGAGCATCAATGCTGCTAAACTGCAGCAGTCCGACAGCTAAATATGTCAGATTCTCCAAGTTTGAATTAGATGGAAATAATCGATGAATGAGAAAGAGTAAGAAATGGCCTTGACTCAGGGTGTAAGAACTAAGCACGATAAGGCAGTTAATTGGTCTGCTAAATCACAGTCGTTAAAACGGAAGGATCATAAAATGAACAAGTGTTGAGGCTTCTCAGTAAGCATTCCTTCAGAGTAGAATGACAAGGCAAATTAACTAGTCCCGTTGTTAACAAAATTGTAGTGGATGGCACATAAGTAGAAAGGGGTGACAATTTGATCGTAAATAGATGACCGAGCGGAACTCCACCTGATTCGTTCGGAAATCATTCGGTCAAAAGAGGACGATGGATACTGCAATCGTCTAAGCGACGGTGTCTGGAGTGAAGGTGCTGGGTGTGGTTCGCTTAAAAAAGCATTCCACGAGCAGTTCCACCTTCCTGCAGTCGCTTCGCATAAAGAGGAACCTACAGACTTCTGGGGGACATTAGCGCCAGAATACTGAACAATGATCATCATAACGGCTAGAAACTCCGCTCGGTTTCATGGAGCACCCGTTGAGTGAGCGCACCAAAACATTGTAAACAGTAATTATCAATGAAGCGAACATGGTTAGGAGTACTGAGACAGCATCAGTAGAAAATTACGAAGTCGTTCGCTCCTAACACTGCGCTCCACATACAGTTGCATCCTCTTGCGACTCTTCAAACAGACGTAGCGTGCTTAGAATGGGACTGGGGAAGTTCGTATATTGCCCAAACCACCTTGTTTTCCTGCAGATCTGCCGCTGGATGGTGCCATACGGTATCCTAGTTAACAAGACATCAAAATACGGCAGCCGATTGTCGGTTTCTTTTTTCATAACTGAACTGCGGTACTGCATGGGCTCAATTAAAGCGGTAGTTTCATCCAGGATGGCGTGTTTATCCGCCACAGAAATACATGGTCTATGTAGCGATAATACCGGCCAAAAATGCTTACCTCCAACTTGGCCATGGAGATATCCGACAGCAGCGGACAGAGGGGAGATCCCATGGCCCCGCCGTCCTTCTGCCGACAGTATTTACCATCGCATACGAAGTGCACATTCGAGTTTCTATAGTGTCAAATCAGTATTTTGGACAGATGTTTTGCGCAATACAACCAGTAGAGCTTTGCAAATGAAGATCGATTAAAAAGGAGAAAGGGGCAAACTGGAAAAGTTAGATGGTTTAAGTGAACATACAGTGACAGCGACTGAAACTCGCCGCAAGCACACAACGTCAGATGAAGATGATGTGGTGGAATCAGTTAGACATTTCCTGTGTGACTTCTACTGTTTTGCGTCATAAGCATCATCAACCCACTGATGACTCATCATCAACAAACTCCAAATAGGTACTCAGGCTAGGGGATGAAAACAAACGTGTTGCCGGAGTGTGTCGCGATAACATCAGCAATACGGCCGTACACCATACCGACGCTTCGTTACCACGCAACGAGCAACAGTCAGTGTAGGCTTGGTATACCGTCAGGTCGCCCGCACCTGTGCGGATTCGATAAGGTGACCTCCAGAGTACAAGGCAAGAATACAAACATTCCAGTCAACGGCGAGCCGGGTGAATTCCAGCCTGGAAATCAGTATGGACCAAAGGTACCCATTTTATTAGCTTCTCGCTGAGAATCCGACGGCTGCAGACCCAGTAAATAAAGCAGACAGTCGGTTTTAATAGCGCTAGGTATTCATGAACGTAGCTCTAACTAGGGCAATAAGCTAACAAGTTCCGGTAAGTACATAGGCCATTACTATCAAAACGGTGGCCAGGGCAGGTGAACCGATCGAATATCTGCAACTCATCGCTGTCAAAATGCATGAGACTGATGGTCCCGCAGTTAAAATCTACGATTTGAAAATGCGAAGCGCAAAGCAAAGGATGGAACTAATACACGGTTTGGTGAGTGTTGACTACCCGAATCCATGGTCAATAAGTGACAAGACGATGTCGACCGCATAAATCAAATCAACCAAGTTACCCAAAGAGGAGATAAGTGCTCGTGTGCGATACAGAAAAAGAATTGAGTAAAGAAAACCACAATAAAATCGGACAAAGTGGGAAATGGAGTAACCCTGGTAGAGGACACTTCTTATCAGAAAGGTGTCCGAAAATTGGCCTTAAAGCTTGGTGTATGGTGTTCAAATACAGGAAACGTAAAATGCTTACTTCTCACGGAGGACCCCCAGTTGCAAGTATATCAAAAAATCAAACAGTTGATTGGACTGGACACCCGGTCTAACCAGGACGGAGCAACAAAGATTTATATCTTCTCGCTCTCTAATTTCAGTATTCAGTATAGCAGGTGTGAAAAACGTGACGCAGTTCCAACACCTGATGCAGTACACAAATATGCAGCACCATCACGGGCAGAAATCCGTCTGCTCATCTCTCATACAGGGTTTCAGTTCCGCAGTAATGTGCGGAGAGTGGAAGCCAATAACGACTGCTACGATCGGCATCAATCTCATGCCCTAGTGATCAACATAAGTGGTGATCCTATACTTCATGAATAATGCCGCGATGATCGACTGGCGCGCTCCCGTTGGGGGGAGCGTCTGACGCGCCTAAGATGGCACCAAGATAGTTAATATGAGAACGTTTGTTCAGAAGGCTCAAACTCTGTTCAACAGCAGATCATGCGGAGACTCACTACTGGTAGACACTTCGACCAGCTGCATCCACGCACATGTATAGAAATTGAATCGCGAAACGGTAACGCGCCGATATGATAGAACACAAGAGAAGCATGTCAAAGCCGTCAGAGAGCAGATCAAAACACAAAACTTTATTGTGATCTGCTGGTAGTAGGGCGTGCTGGGGATATAGGGCACGAGGTCGAGTTGTACAATATCAGAAGCCTTAGAAAGAGAAGCAAGCAAGAACCCGGGTAGACTGGCAAAATGGCACAAAGAGCCTAAGTCATCAGCTGTTGGATGTGTTCCCATCCCAGACTACTTATCTGTAAGCCCTCCGCTGCAACGACACATCCAATCATAGGATAATCTGGACGTCCAAGAATGACACTGCGTTTCACTCAGATTCCAGGGTGAAGTTTATGTTACTGTGCGTCAATCTAGAATGAGCCACCATTTCTCTCGTACAAAGGTGATTGCGATGTACATAGCATCCGCAGTATATAAGGACATCAGCGATTACTCCGTTCAGACAGCTGTTCTGCAAACTACCCAACAGTCGTCTGACGGTTGCGGTGATTTCATTGCAACTCCGACCCATTGTCTTTATCTTTCATTGGGACGAGATTGGACCAGAACTTTGGGGCGATGGTTCCCGTACATTCGTGACCAATACCTAGGCTAGGTGGCACTTTCCAAGTGCCTTCAGAGCCACGCATACCAGACAAATCGGTGGTTAAGAGTTAGACTATCGCACAATTCAATTCACTTCGAAATTTAGGGAGAGACCAATGACCCACTTCCTTTAAAATCCAGCCATGGGACGTAACAAGTTTATGGGTTATAAGCTCACAGCTCGATTGGCATAAAGCACGAGTACTATGAATTGTATCTCATGGTGCGAGAGCACCGCCCGGTGCTCAATGGCTCGCTACTGACAGCCTCAAGCTAGATAGCCCATGGTCAAATTGGTACAAACCCGCCAACTCCCACTTGTGTAATATGTTACGGCCGAACAACACATGTAAATCATTCTAAATCTACGAAGGCTGTGTATGACGGAGCTCAAATTGATCCCAATCGATCTGTGCAATCACACTCCGCAGTGGGACTTGTACCCCACTGTCAGGCGGGTCAGGCTAATAAGCCAAAGGCTCCGTGCGGAGTACCTCAAATATAGCTCCATCCCCCCCCCACAGCATTGTAGGTCAGACTGTTGAGTCAAAGCCTAGAGATGGAACAGTGACGTAACGGAATGTGTATCCGGGGAGTATCGACTGCCTTCTCGATTTCGTCGATAATAATCCCCCTCCTCCTTCTTGTTCTCCTCTTCACCGTCTATTGAAAAAGAGACTGCCTTGACTTCGTAGTTGCTGTCATCGACACAGTTCGTTGGTACTCTGAGTGAGATCAGCCAACAGGCACCCTAAACTCCCACTCTTCACTCTAAGTACTCATGTGTGTCGTGCGTCCGGTTCCGGATTTGCCTGTCACTGCGGACTCCATGGGTACAGCCCCAGGACGCCTACGCCTACAAAGAGACCATGGGTGGCTTACATTGTACTATCCAAAGCTTCATCCAAACACCCCATATCTAATGTAAAGTCGAAGGAACAAAACCGGGAGGCACGTGTATGGGAGCCACGTTGCATCAAGGGAGTCAGACCACACTCCTTCAAAATGCAAAACAGCAGCATTCCTGTCTATCTAAGTTGGGAAACATGCGTACGAAACACACATGCAAGATGACAGCATCCTGACGTAGCTTGGACTCCCTGGTCTTGAATCTGCCAACAATGACTACACTCTTCGTGCCTTTGGAGGCATTCAGTCAATGACTCTACGTATTTACGGTATCGGCATAGCCCTCAGAAAACATGCCGAATGCAATCTAATATACCGGATAACAGTGAACAGCCGTATGTGGGCAGTGCAACTTCCAATCTCTACAAAGGTTAGAAGAACCATGTGAAGGTGCATATTTATAGTTTGACTTAATGCCTCCACTGAATTAGTTCGGAGGGTATTAAAGACAAATTATACTGTTAACTACAATCGCTTCACCGCATGGAGCAAAATACAGCCATCCCGACTGGTGGCATTGATAGAAATGACAAAGTGGGTCGCTTTTAGGACTTTGAACAATATCTGGGAGGCTGCTTCGTGGTCAATGTACCTCGACCACTCAATGGTGATCGATTCTTACAAATATGTGCCGCTTTCCAGCACAAGCGTTCACATGGTGCCAACTAACACCCACCGAGTTTCTCGAGGACTTGGACCCGAATTGGGCATATTGCCATCAGTTACAGATGGTCCACATCAGCCGGTCCATTCAGGGTGTTGCCTGGATTCCGACAATGCTCTAATGTGCTCACGCTCGGCGCTCTCTTCCCGCTTAAAAGAAGTGTCTACTTTCTGAGCTTCTCACTTGTAACTTGATCTCGTATTCCGCAGTTAATAACGAACTGGCGCACAAATTACCAGGGATAAGATTAGAAAGCTGAATGTAGACTGGTATCGTCTCGTATCATGAAGAATGCCTATGACGCGCGATCTACACTCGGCCTGAGAGGTCCGCATTGTAAATGGATATCTGAAGTATCGATCGGTTTGACTGAAGCATGGGTACTGATTTTCAACGTATCCGAAAAGTCCCCAAAGTAAAAGGAGTCTCAGATCTGGGAACGCTGGTGAGTCGCAAGAACATGTGAGATAGAGAATGCTAGTGCTATTGGGCACATTCGAATACCGTTCCAGATCACCAGGAACAGGAGTGCAAGAAAGCCGTCAGTCAGTGAACCCAATAGATGGACAGTTGATTCACTTCAACCGTCGACCAGCCAATCTGGTGGAACATTTTGAAGAGCGATTCAGCAGGACTGCCGCAAAAGTGTCGTTCGCTGAATCACCCGAAACGACTTGAGGTTGTTGTCACATATACCACCTTAGAAGAGATTCGATATGAGCTTGCCGTGTTAAATCCAAAAATGTGCTTAGACCTGATGACCTCCTTTTTTGACTGCACTTGCTGCGTGGATGCAACACATTTGGACACAGAAGTGCTTTCAGACTGACCACTATCACTGCTGTGCCCGTCTACAAAAAGGGTCAACAGATTCTATGGGTAGATCGACACAGCATTAGCCTACTTTCCTTTGCCTCCAAACTTCTCACAGCTATCATTTTCTGATGACTTACGAGTCCATTTGAGAGCTGAAATATCGAAAGCCAGACTGGCATCCACGCTGGTCGTAGTTAAATCAACCACATATTTACTCAACTTCAAGTGTTAGAGCAGCAACACTTACAGATGACTAAAAGGGTGATTCTCTTTGACTTGAAAGCCGTTTTCGACTTTAGCGATCGATCCAGCGTGTGAAGGTAAAGCTGAAGTCTTTCTACCGTGACCCCAGAGGCCGGATAAGTGTCTAGGGAAGCTGTCTCCTAAGTTCCCCACGACAAATGGGATTGGCAAGCGTTATCCTACATCTCATTTCCAATTCAAGTTGGTGAGCAATGCCCCGTCCGTTTGGCACGCAGCGCAGTGCAGTGTGTAGTGAGCGATCTAACTAGCGAGCAGCTTGGATAGTACCGTAACAATGTGCAGCTGTGGGAGTCAAAGGTCAAACCCGCATCTTTTTAGGGTCAACTAAACGAAGTGGGCGATTGTGACGAATTTGCCAAAACGATGGAATGTGCGGCCATTGTTTTAAACAGCCAACATTCGGTGTACGCTCCCTTTGTGTGGACATTTTTCCTTGGGTGCTGCGCGCCTCGGCATTTGGTTGGCATCTACAAGGTGCAAAGCATTGTTGCAGGACTAAGCCACCTGCCTTAGCTATCAGCAGTCACCGGACGTGGTGGATCGGTATACTTATCTTGGTAGATGCGCAAAATGCGGGTGGTTTTATCACTGAAGAAGGTACTTCGCGTATCAGCAAGGCGTATGTGGCTTTTCAGAGGTGGAGAAATCAATGGAGACGGCAGGACATCTAACTATCAGTGATAGGGTGTATAAGGCTGCGATAAGGTCGGTCTTATAATATGGATCAGAGACTTGGACAATGCGCACCGTAGACACTAGCATATTTGGAGTTCCTGATCACCCGTGCTTACGGACCATCGCTCACGTATGATGGGAAGACCGGGTGAGCAATGTTGAGGTCCGCCGTCTGGCTTTTTTTGGTAAGAAGCCTTCTGGTGTCTCTCGAATGTTTACTTGAGCTCAACCACTTACGTTGGCTAGTTAATGTCCACCATAGGACCGTTGACCGCCTTCAAAAGTGTGCATTATACGCCATCGTTGCACCAAGTCAGGCGAATACGCGAGGTGTCCAGTGCATGGTGATGTGACATAAAGAAAATAGCCGAGAGACTTGGTCAGGCTAATGCGTGACGTCTTCGTGGATGATGGCCTCGGAGTGGTCTACATCAGTGATTGGAGACTATAGATTACGACCGATTCGCGAAGTCAGTGGCGTTTCTGCATTCCGTTTCTTGCATCTAGCCGATTAGTTTTGCGCAGCGCTTCCTTAATTCCATTTGCTTAGCACTCTGTTGGGATTCAATCTCATTTTGCTGGCGCCTTTATGTACAGTATTTTTTGGCGAGACATAATGGCAACTGCATCTGCCGCACCTCGGTGCCCAGGTAATAGCTGTTCAACTAAAGTAGACTAAACTACGTTTGCCATTGTTAAGCTAGTAACTCGTGCACATCAGAAGCAAGTGCACCAATTGGTCGTTCGAAAGACCGACACTGAGATAGCATAGTACCACAAAGAGGATTATGGCCCTTTTAACGGAGCATTGGTGAAGGACGGTATGGGATCTAGCGAAACTTTTATCATTAAGTATCCATCCCAGCAAAATTTCCTCTATGCATCTGAGAGCAGACTGGGCGTATGCACGGTAAAATGAAGTAAATAGTCCTTTAAGGTGCGATAACCATCACTCCACTGACAGCACTCCTTTAGCCCGTATATATATATATATATATATATATATATATATATATATGTGCGTGTGTGTGTGCATACAGTTATTTTTTCAATCTTCCAGGAGCGGCCAAGATGAGCCAATCAGACTGTCAATCGATCAACCGAAACCTACACGGATACGCGACAAGTGGGGGAGAGCGGCTTGCCCCACATGGCGTGCGTGGAAGAGGCTGGTACAATCCCAGAGGTAATAATTAACTTTCGCTTGATAAAGGAAATCGTTTTGTGCGCAGTAATTTGATTACATGAAATGGCAAGCAGAATTTGCACGATGTGTAAAACATGGGGATAGTAAACACAGATACACACTATAGTGTATTAATACAAGTAAATAAGCTGGCTCGTTGTTTAAGATATTGGCAAATACCAAATGACACGTTTATGGGCGACGGAACGGAGAAGATAGTTCGTAAGACTGAAAACGAAGGTGGTTGAGTTCGGAAAAGTACGATTGCACCGAAAGATAAGGAACACATTACATCAAAACAATGTGAACATGGTGATTTCACTGTGACAGGGAAAGTGCAACGTTAGTTATACTTATTGGCATGTTGTTGTATCAAGTGTCATGGCTGAACAGAAATAGAGTATCAAAACATCCATGGGATGGATCAAAAGCAAGTGCATGTGAGGTACGCATTTTTCATTGTGCTTATCGGAAACTAATTGTAAGCCGGCAGAATATGTAAAATAGCCGCAGTGCACAATATGAACATTGAGCGAATGGATCGATAGTCTATACGACTCACCGTACAGCTTCGGGCACAATATACAAAGGCGCAACAAAGCTACATGAAGTCGTTGTAAAGCATCACAGGATACTTTGGGTAAATTGCTTCAGTCACCGTCGGTTGCATGCCGAGAGAGTTGGAGACCGTTTCAAAACCGTTCACCAGTGAGTGAACAAGAATAATGCATCATTCCGGATAACGACACACTGATTAGGAATGAGTGAAACCCACAAACAGGACCCGAAGTCAACATGTGTGAATAAATGCTGATACACAAAATAGAGAAACTTCGAGGAGCAGTGTGGCAAAACATACAAGTAAAAGCACGACACTTCCTAACAAAACTCTTGGTAAAATGAGTAAGCTAATGCACTAAGGTTCCCGAAGCAAAGAGCAGTGTCAGATTAGCTAAGAAGTGAGTAATGAACGGAGGTCCATGGAGTTATTTTTTAAAAATAAACAATACTGATTTTTTCACTTTAGACACCGCGCACCGGAATCCAATCACCGGAGAGGGAATGAAGCCTGAGGACTACCTGGATACATTCAGTTTACCGAGAGACTATCGAGTTCGAGTCGAAAGAACGAATGAGAGTATACAACAACACGAAAAGAATAAGGCAAGAAGCAGAGCAAGTGGACAAGAACCGACGAAAGGAAGTAAGGAGAAAGCGGTAAATTTGGAGAGGCCAGAAGGTAAGTGTCCAAGAAAAAAGAAATACAGTTTAAGACCAACAGATATCAATGTATTGCCAATTACTTAAATCTCGTTCTAATTGCTTTCAGTTAAAAAGGTTATCAGACCCAAAAAGGCTTCTGTCCCAAGTGAAACGGTCAATCATGAGCTAGAAAACACGGGACAACGGAACTCAGTCGATATAAATGTCGCAGCGACGAAAGACGAATTAGATGACGAAAAGGATGAGATGAAAACGAATGGCTCGCCAAAGAAGGTGAACGGGGAAATCGAGACGATGGAGACTGAAGATGTGAAAAGCGAAAAACCACACTCCGAGAACGGTCTCACAGAGGAGAAAGTATTAGACGTTCAAGACACCGTAGCACCTGTTGCGGAGGATGAAAATAAAGATGATACAAAAGAAAGTGTTGAATAAGATTCTTATAAATTAACGTGTTCATTTGTTTTCCACTGAAAGGTAGCCTACACTAGAGGCGCTTTAGAATTTCACGAGGTCTGATAAAGCTAAGTGATGAACTGAATGAATCTGAGACCAGTTGTGGAGATATTATGTTCATGGTTATGGGAGCGGCACAACTACGGTGGTTACGGAAAGCCCACTAATACAATTGAGTAGACGACATGCTGTGTGTTAGTGGTGTGCATGCGCATCCCGAATGTGACGATAAAAAGTCGAAAGCGCAAGTATTCGAACAAGAATTTATTACAAGACAAAAACTAAGCGTTCGATTGTGTTTTGAATGCTGAGCTAACAGCAAAGTTGGATGATAAGCGAGAATGGCTGTTGAAGGTATGGCGCTCCACTAGTATTCATTTACGAACACCGCAAGAATTGCACCTGAAGAAAAGTGAAATATGAGGAATTGAAAGAAATTGTCGGTCAAAAACAGGAAACAATGATCAGAGAATGGATAAAACACGATGTGGAATTAGGGGCGAGCAGATATCCAGCTAGCTAAAATAGGCTGAGCATTAGCTGGGTATCACTGCGAGCAATAAGCCCACTCGATAAACCCGTTCCAACATCGAAAATAAAGGTGGTTGATAGAAATTATCTTTAAGTCAAAGCGATATCCTGATTTGAACTGCTTATTAGCAAAAGAATCATAATAATTATTCGTATAAATAACGCGTCACCGTGAGATCATGAACGGAGGAATTTTCTATGAATAGAAAATAAGGTGGAGCGACATAGCTAGGAACCAAGCGTACTAAGCAAGCAGAATGCCTACACATTGCTAACCCTGAATGTAAAGTTGAGAAATGATTTCTGATTGTGTACTACCAACAGCGTTGTATCCACGACTGCGCCCTAACAAATTATGTCTCCGACAACTAGTGTGATAACTCCAGGAATGCCTCAGGGATGCCATGTTAAGGAATGGACACAAAACTGCTTCGTCTAAATCAGTGCAGTACTAGCAGCAGAGGATATGAGGTACGTGAACAACAAATGTAAAGATATGGCGGGGTCAACGTAAGAAAGTTGTATTTAACAGACATCCTCGTGTGGCAACGAATGTTCGTCACAGACACCAACTGATGGACCCAAGTCCCCACTACAGTAGGTATGAACAACAATCCACCGGCTCCGGTGATCAGAGGGCAAATCTCTTAAAATGTGCAACGCTGATACCCCATTGCATCAGGGACGATGGAGATTGAGAATCTACAATAGCCGTGTTGGTATGCGCAGCACGCCCTTCGACAACTTAGCCAACAGGAGTGATGCAGCTAACAGAATAGGTAAACTGAGCAGTGGCCAGACGGATATGATGTGGTAGCTTGCTCCATCGGTTCAGCTGAGCTATCAATCTCCCCTTGCAGATGCACACGGCTGCAATCCATCCCAAAACACTGAACATTGGACGATAAGGGACATCGTAGTCTTAACAGAATCCGATTAGTAGTGGTAAAACAATAGACAGTATCTGTGTATATTTGCACTATTTGGTCACCAAAGGAGTTGTGGAAATTGTGTTCACTGGGCAGGATATAAAAGGTGTGGATCTTGACTCGGAGAATGTGGAAGACTGTCATAATCTGTGACAGTTCCCAAACGCACCAAACAACACTGGATAAATGAGCACTGGCTGACAGTTGTTTTGGGCTATGCTCTACATCTACAAAAGGTAGATTCCCTCTCATAAGTTGGCAGGGACCCACCCCTGTGCTGGAACTTGGTGGTGATCAGATATCCAGAAATTAACGCCTGTGGAATTGACCATGAGATAACGAACGGTATGTCACTGATTTGTTGAATTGCCGTGTGCTGGATTCTAACTTTGCTTCTGGATTCGTGTTATAGATGATTTTCCGGGTGAATTGTGCACCAATATTTTTCTTTTGGTGTATTTTTCAATCTATGCAAAGTTGGTGGATATCCTCTCGCTAATTTCGGAGATTTCATTGATGGGCCTAACTGCCGTCTGTGTTCGCCATCTTGGATTCGTTCTACCTTGTGATGCCGTCTCAAGCTACTTGTGGTTCGTGTTCGAAAGTTGTTGGAGATAAGGCTCATGCACTTCGGCTGCGACGTTTTGTTCCATATTTTGTGCATTGGCTTATCCGCTGACGTTTTTCAAAAATCTCTCGACATTCGACATCGGTTTTTCCAGGTTATATGTGAGAAATGTCGCGGTTCAAGACATAAAAAGAACAGCAACCACCATCGACTACAGGAAAACCACTGACAGGCGGAAACACACGGTTCACCTCGTGGTGTCAAACATCCTCGTGAAAGTAACTCTGTCAACTCGTCTTCCCCTGCCACTCCGCGATCTGCACCATCATCAGCGCCTTCGACCCCGGCCGTCTCAGCTTCAATGTTCCCCACGGATTGAAGACTCAGATTCGGAACCTCCGAAATGCCGCTTCACGGGTCGATCCGTGAATTTCTCAGAGCCAGTCTGTGAACTTCTGAACATCGAGGATCCATGGGCCAGTAATCTTTTTATCTTATGAACCACTCAAAAGCGCAAGTGGCCACGTAACCGACTTCAGGTACCCCCTGTTGGTAAACAACAACCCCAAGCGAGAAGGGCCTTCAGACCAGCTTCCACAGGCTCAACACCGATTTCGCTGAGGCGTCATAATCTCATGGCCTTCTACACACCAGAGTCCAGAGAAGAAAACCCTCAGATACGTTATGATCACGAGATTGAGTTCCTCCAAGGGGTCATCGATAGATTCTTGGGTGTGGGTGAAGACGGTGTGACGATTAAACAAGTAGTCTGATTTGGTCAGCAAACATCATCATCATTATACACGTTAGCTTCAGATGGAAGACACCTCAGCTATTGTGCCACAAAAGAAAAGAAAAAGAACATGGAACAGGCACGCTGGCTAAGTCACCAGAAACGGATGGACATCGTTCCGAAGAGCTAAAAACTGGCTATTGTGTCGCAAAGAAGTCATATTATCACTAACAATTGAGATCGTGGTTGAGGTGGAGGCAAAGTGGGAGGGGAAGGGACAAAGAAACTCACAACACAAACGCCACTGAGGTCGGCTGCTAGCCACGTCAATAAGTGCATGGAGCAAACTAACTAGTCATGTCGACCTATGGAGAATCAAATTTGCAAACCACAACATGCTGCAGCCTATACAGTCTCATCTATCAAAGCTGAAAGGCATAAATGTTCACATCCGCCAAGACTTGGAACCCGAAGACAGGGATCGTTTGAAGATTGCGGTCCTTGAACTCAAACGCAGCACAAAAGATAAGACCGACTTAAACACAGTAAATTTTTAGGGGTACAAGAAATATGTACGAGCCCGAGTCAACCAGTTGCTCAACCTTCAGGCACGCCCCGCGATACCTCTCAGGACCTCAGCGTGGCATCGCCAACGTATGCGGCCCGATGAACAAACGTGACGCACTGTGCCGCTTCACTGTCTCGGAGCGGTCGGACGTATTAGGACGTGTAGACACGGTTGAACTCCGACGTCACACCCCAGAAAGTCGCCTTATCAGATTGTTCTTGTTTGTGATGCGACCGAAAATCAAAGGCTTACGGTGGTGTTCTGTTGTACATTGAGTCGTCACTATCTGGCAAGGGTAACCTAAGCGAGCAACTGTGGTGCCCGATCCGTCTCAGACGTGCAGAACTAATAGTGGGTGTTATCTAGCGCAGCCCATTAGACCGTTGCCGCGATTGGCTACCACAAGTACAGAAGCATATGAGTCGCCCCCAATTTCTACTGATGCGGGACCTAATGTACCTAGGATATTATGGCCAGACGTTCGGCCTCTTCCTGGTCATGGTGACGTTGAGGTTCCATCCGCTAAAATGACTATTGAAATAGGGGCAACGCAGCATTTCGTCCAACCGACGCCCATAACTCCGCACTAGGCATTTTGTTTGAACCTAATGTTTACAAGCTGCGAGCAGAATCTGACAGATGTCAGAGTCCTCGAAATTCTAGCGAACAGTGATCACTGCTCCATTGTGGCAAGCATAGAACTGCCGCCACTGTATTACAACCAACGGAAGCCGACATTCAACTATTGGAAGACGGACTTAAACAAGCTCATGCAAATCGCAAGTCAGATTGATTAGACACTACCACAGGATGCGTTGCTTGTTGACTGGGGTCATTAAGGAATGGAAAGCTTAACTAGCTGTGTACCCGGTTCGTTCCCCTGAAGTATTCAAAAGTCGGACCTGTCAAACTGCATTGGTTTGATAAGAAAAATAAACAGTTAGCGCGGCGGCGCCGCAAACTTGGGGATAGATACATCATTTTGGGTTGTGATGAAGACTACACGGTGTACAAGAAAAAGCGTAGAATATGTAACACCGCAAAGAGCAAGAAACGCCAGCAGTTCGAAGAGGAGCTAGCAGCCTCGGCTACAACCGTCCCTAAGAGAACATTTGCCTTCTTGAAACGTCAAATGAAACCTGCGGGTGACCTACCGGTCTTAGAGAGCTTGGACGGACAGTCGCTCATTTCAAGCGCGCAGCATGGAGACGCCTTCATTTCGCACTTCTTCACCTTATTTCCTAGTAAACTGGCGGTTGTCCTAGTACCGGCACAGCTTACGCCAGTTTTACGCGACAGCCTACAATGTGATGCAGACGAAGTGTATCAGCTACTCGTCGACCCCAATGGTGCAAAGCCCCCGGACCAGACGGACCTCACCCACTAATACTTAAGTCCCTAACGAGTGTCGGCTCATCAGCCGTGAAAAGCCTATTCAATAAATCACTCTCTAAAACATCTGTCTCCGATGACCGAAAATGCTCAATAGTGAGACCGCTTCCCAAGGATGGTGATCCGAGTAAAGTAGAGAACTACAGACCGATCCGTTTGACTTCGATACTGTCCAAAGTCCCCAAGGTTGTGAAAAATGTTTGTTGTCATTCTTCGAATCGATGGACGTATTGATGCCAGCGGAACACGACTTAACGAAAGGGCGATGCTGCATCACCAACCTAATGTACGCAAACCATCAGTGGGTATGAACTCGCAACGAACAGAAAGACGCTTACGTGGTGTACATAGAGTTTATTAAAATGTACGTATGTATGTATGTAGTCTCAGCTGTCTATCAACTAGACAAAGCCAACAGAAAACCATGGAGATCATTAAATAAGAGACAGTCATTACGTCATAATTATCGTGGCATGGTAGCTGAAGGTGAGCAACATACTTCAGCTAATATGCCGCAGGAAGAATGGAACGTTTTGACAAAAAGTAGAACAAAACATTGTTAGTTTGTTTTTCACACGTCGATTTTTCTCTTTTTGTCATTTTCAATGTTTGTAGTATTAAACATGTGAATCAGTACAATACTGTACACAATTCTTCCACTGATTCCGGTTGCGGGCCATG